TAATAATAATAATAATAATAATAATAATAATAATAATAATAATATACTTCAAAGTAGGCTTTTATCGACCGCCTCTGTGGTCTAGTGGTCAGAGTTCCTGGCTACAGATCCAAACGTCCGGGTTCGATTCCCGGTGCTACATGATTTTATGAGAAGTACTGGGTCTGGAACGTGGTCCACTCAGTCTCTTGAGGATAAATGAACTATTTCAAGGAAATAGCGGCTACGGTCTAGAAAACCGAAACGGCCGTGGGAATTCGTTGCGCTGATCACGCGACACTTTCTCTCAGCTAAAGTTGGCACTAACTTCGATCCTGGGTCTGGTCAAGTGGGATTCGCGGTGGACAAAGTGGCGCCGGGGCGGGTTTTTTCCGAGTACTTCGGTATCCCGTGCCAATCTTCATTCCACCAAATTGTCCATCATCATAATCACCCGGGGCAGGGTACAATAGGCCGCCGTGCCGAGTGGACCCAGTTTAACTCCACCCCCCGCTAAGTGAATTAATTAATTAAACTTCGCAGACAAGCGGAGGTCGCTCGGTCGGTATATTTCGCTTGCGGACTCAAGCCACGGAGTTTCTTTTGTAGGCTTTTATCGGCTTGTTCCATCCTAAAAACTATCTTTTTATCGTGTTCTCAGTCGTGCAACATTTCGTAGTCCATCTGCTGGTAATTCTTAACTTTTTGGGCGAGTGTTGAAAGATTCATTCTAAAGATATAATTATGCCACTTGTGTTCGTTCTTCAAAAGCGTGTATTCGTAATGCATTGGATATTGTCTCATTGCGTACATTGTAAGTGTAAGTGTATATCCAGAGACGCTTCTTGAAAGGCACACTTCCGCTGTTTCAGTTTTCCTCCTTTCAGAGTCAAGTTTTCGCTTCCAAACATAAGCATTAGAGCTACTTATAAAATTTAATCTGTGTGTCCTCCACTCATTCTTCACGTCTCCATTTCATTCTCTGAATTGTGGCTTTCTAAGGGGTGATTTTACAAAACTTCTGAAGGAATTCGTCTTCCCCCTCCAGCTAATGTACAACCAATCGCAACCACCTTCATTTAACTACCCAAACAATACTGGGTGGCCTGTATAAACCACTATGTGCCTCATTACATGACATCATAAATTTCCTTAATCCCTCTTGGGTTCGTTATTTGTCTGATCACTTTCTTTTTATTGTTAAGTGTATTGTGTTAAGTGATAAGTAACTTATTGTTAAGTATATTGTTAATATACGTATTTCAAGTGTGATTCTCTTTCTCAATTCCATTTCAACAGATCGACGAATGGGAGTAACAGCAAGGAAATCTTCATGTATGATGTCGCAACACAGAAGGTAAGCAAGCTTCGTGGAGAACTTAGCTCTGCCTTCGTGGAAGTGGCAGAATCAAATGCCAACAGCCAAGAACTGGACAGTGTTGCCGCTCCTTCAGATATTATGGAACAATGGGAACAGGGTCCGTTTGAAGTTGAAGCAGGAGAAGAACCCTCAGCCGTTGCTTCAGAAATATTTGAAGACAGGGTTTTACCAGGTCAAGTAGCTGACATCTCTTCATCTGCTTCGGAACAAGACCTCAAACACGACGAAATCGAGGAGGAAAAGAAGAGTTCATTTCAAGACTATTTGGTAATGTCGGCCTCAGAGCCAGATCTTGAAACAAAAGATGACAAGGCAAGCAACACGATATTAGTATCTTCTGGATACAGCAAAACAAGTGATTTTACAGGTTCCGGGGTTTGATGTTTATGATGACCGACAAGACGAACAATTATGACGATATTTGGATAAAGAATGGGGTTATTCACGGATTTAAAAATATTATTTTAAGTCAGTGAATAACAGAAGGAATGAAAATAGTTACTAGGCCTATTCTTATGCCTACGAAAAAATGGAGACGGTGTGTAATTTTTCAGTGTCAGTATACAAGTACATACACTTGACGACAATGTCCAACTGTTCACTGTTTAAAGTCATGAATATGCGTCGGCGTTTACACACTTGCGTTGAAATAAATGTACGTATGAATTCATTCTTGCTGTGTTAATATCTGGTACTAGCTTTATACAATAACCACGAACTTTGATGGAACTGATGTTGCAAGTCTAAAACTGATTTTTATATTGATCGAAGTTGCCTTCAAATAATTTATTTAAGAGCTCTCCCGAAAGGAAACAAATGCCCAATGAAATCCGCTTTGTCTTCTCGATGAAATTTTGTTGTAGCTACAAGAATTAAAAATTTATGGGGCGACGCTTGTACACATGATACTTATAATTCAGCTGTCTCCAAGAAAAATTATAGCATATCCGTTAAATATGTCATTTAATAATAATTATGAAAATAATCGCTCGTTTTCTCTGATAACGCGAAAGAAAATCCAAATATAGGCCACTCTGCTGCTAAGACGCAGAGGATCTGCTACTTAGTTACTGTGCTGTAAATGATTGAGCCCAAATCCGAATATCAACTGGAGCTGTATAAGTGCAATAAACCTCACGAAAACTCTTGTAGCTGGACTTTATAAATCCAGTCCACCAACAGAACATTTTATACCTAAGGTCTATATGTATTTCCCGCATAGTGGATGAGTTACGCAGCGCTACAATGGAATTATATGGAATGCAGGTCGGAATGTGGAGAATTATTTGTATGCGATGTAGATTCGATTCTGGGTCAGTGCAACATATAAACCCCGAGATGCTGGGTACTCACGTGGTTGTCGGACCGGCTGACAGGCAGGCTACTGATGTTTCCTGAACAAATCCGGTGCGGCAACATACGTGAAAATCCGTAATAGGAACTCCTTTACTGAAAGTTACGGAAACTAAAACCTCATTCCTTACTCGTAACGTAGAACACAATTTCATTTGAATTAAACTAAAGATTTTGATTGATGTTAATTCGGTAAGATTTTATGTATGTAAAAATATTTTACAGAGATAAGCAGTTAAATTCACATGGGAGAAATTAATTAAGGTAATTCAGTCGGTGTGATGAGGGTCTACAGTCTGGACGGCTGAGCAAGAGCAGATTTTTCTTTCTCTAGGGCGTCAAGACCGACTCTGGAGATCACCCAGTCTCCCATATAAATGGGTATCAGTGGCTCTTTCCACGGGTCTTAAGAGGCCGGGGAGTGAAGCTGACCACTCATTTCTATCTAGTACCAAGATTAAGGATGCCTGGATGCCCCCATACATCATCATGGTCTGGTTTTTAATTAACTAAGAACAAAGAAATCTTTGCCTCCTACGAGTAAGACCAGACAGGAAAAATAGGGCCGCTAGTGTGACAGAAGTTACTCCTTTCTTGGTTTATTTAACGATGTTTTGTCGGTTACACTGGTTGTAGACCTCTAGCGTCAAATTGGAGGATTACTAATTTTGGCTTCCACAGTGGCTCAGTTGGGTCTTTGCACCGTGTGGAAGTGTGGAGTGTTGCAGAAGTTTTGGAGATGCATTCTACCTCCATCTATAACGTGTACGCCCACAACGTTGTAATACTGCCCATTCCACACAGTGCAAAACCCATAATTAAGATTAAAATAAAAAGTTATGGGATAAGTAATAATTTTTTGTAATGATCGTTGTAATTCCTGGAGAGAATCGTGCGAAATCGTCTGATAATTTGTGTACCTTCAAGTAGTATACTAAAAACAAAATGGCAACCCATTGCACTCCATGTTTCGAATTGTAACCTACTTCCAATATTCTATAATATCTAATCTTTGGATGGCGTTTCTATTCTCTATTTTATAAAATCCATTGGATTGAAGAAATATTGTTTTTCAGAGTGACGTAATGTTCACTGTACAGTGTGTAAGTATGTGTGATTTTGTACTTTTCTTAAGTTTTCTACGAGTAAAAGTTTTTGTTACGAAACAAATAATTTCTCATATTTATAACAACCGTATGAATATATCCCATTTTGTCCTGTCCAGTATATATTTTATTTCAATTAGCGAAATGAAACCCGAGAATTAGCACATCCTGACTCATTCATTCATTCATCAGTAATCTGTCAGACGTCAGGTCCACAGTCTCTTCCAAAACAGCTCCTCCACCCGATGCGATCCAGAGCCCTCTCCCTCAAATAAAAACATCCTCCGTCCCCAAAGTCATCCAGCATCTTCTTACGTCTTCTTCCTCGTCTTCTGGTTCGCATACATGGTGTCTCTGTTTTTGGAAAGAGACTATCCAGGAAAAGGGGATAATGTGGTAGTCTTTCCATTTGCTTTCCACATCGCAGTACAACAGCCGTTCAAACCACTCTGGTCACGTCTGTTCCTATACGAACTTGAATCATTTCGAGTATCATTTGCTCTCTGCTTCAAGTCATTGCTGATGGCGCTGCTTCCGGCATTCCTGACTCATATGTGTTTATAATTAGCGAGAAGTTACAGGTATATCTGAGTTAGACACGAATTCCTTATACAGTGCGTACAATCAAGTGCGCGCCGCGGCTGCAATTTGCCGTGAGTCACAACTCCTCCCCGTGACTGCATCCGTTCTGCGGTGGTATGACTCACGGCAAATTGCAGCCGCGGCGCGCACTTGATTGTACGCACTGTATTTAAATTTATTTCACGTAAATATGTTGGGCGCTGGTGTGGGACGTAATTTCAAGCTGAAGAACCCCACAAAAATGATACTTTTCTTTCAAGCGTTAATTAAAGTAAAGTAATTAAAGCATAATTCAGACAAATGTATTGGTTTCTCAAGTCTGCTGCATGCTCAGTTACAGCTACAATTGTGAAACAAATGGTTTCTCACCATAACCTGGTGCTTCCAAGAATCGAAAGCAATATTGTAATACAAACTGTGATCTTCTAGTTGTGATACCATATTGTCTGGTGGGTTATTTTCAATATTTAAAATGAATTTGCTTCATCTATCTTCTTCAGAGAATAACTAAAGATGCAGACAGCTAGTTCCCCTTAAATGTTGCCAACTCTGTACCAGACTATATGGTGTCACACTTCAGACTACAGTTTGAAAGTAACAGTGTTAGCCTCTGTTTTTCAAAGTTGTATAGATCTACATAATATAAAGGCTGGATGCATGGGTGTATTCTCTATCCATACATTGTTTTTCTTTTTTTGGCGAAGTCAAATCGTGTAATTTTTATTCAATTATTTCTTGGGGTGATGAGTTAACAGACCAAAATCATGCCATTTATTGTAATTGCAGAATAATTAAGATATCTAGGCAGAAAGAGAAATAAATAAGAAAAAGAGTGAGTAGTGTAAAGGAAGTGGAGTCACGTGCTGCAGAGGTTAACGAGTCAGTCATTGTTTCGGATACAGGTTGTAACAGGTTATCAATGCTTATCACAAATTGGGCCATACATGTGTTATGGAGGTAAGGCGTTCTTACCACTCAGATTTTCAGTGTTCAGTATCTTGAATCATGTGTGCAGGAATTCACTACCAAATTCAGAACACTCATAGGATGATTCAGGAGAGGAAGGTGCAAGTTGGGAATATAATACTTATTTACAACAGAAAACAACTTACCATATAATTTTTATCTCTTCTTTTATTAAAAATAATTAACCTGCTTCGTCGTGGCAGCATTTATTGTGACATTTGGCGCTAATTCTAAACTGCCGCAAAAATTAATTGTAATACAAATTCACAAATATTGCCACAGGAACTATGTCATTATGGCCAAAAGCCTTAGTCATGTCAATAACAAATCTTTGTTGTAGCTCTTGAAATATGGGTTTAGAACTAAAAATAGAACATTAGGACATGCCTGGTATTCTGTATATTTGCATGACCAGCATAAATGGCCTCATCCTTATATCGGTTATAGAACCTCAATTAGCAATTAAAGCACTTATAAGAGAAAATATGTGGTCTTGCATTATATGAAATTACCTGTAATTACTTCTGTACTTTATATTTAGCAAATCATACTTTTATCCATGTGGCCACAACTGGACTTGTCACCCTTACCCTCCATCATCAATTCTTTTTAAAATGTAAGCCAAAATATGCTTTTAAAGTATATTACAGAAAACCCCTGGTTCTATTGCCAGGATTCTTTATTTTTATCATCGAAATTTTGTGTGAGGATTGAAGAAACCCCCAGTAAGCTGGTAATTGTAGCAAGTACTCCTGCCACATGAATATCACATGAGATTTGAAACTTTCACTGCCGAAATTATTCAGATTATGGTTTTCTGGGGTCATATACAATGGTGACAGGTACCAACGTTTAGGAGGCACTTGCTGCCTCCATCTTTATGGCAGACTTCCAAAGAAAACGTGGGGACTGCACCCTCTCCAAAACTTTAGGCCCTATCTACCAGAAAACCGCATTCTGAACGAGTAAGGCATCTTCCCTTGTAACAACCAGCTCTTTTGTATTGACATACTCGTGTTAGATTTGACGTTCACATAACTGTGATGTAACGCCGTCTAGTCCGATAAAGAAGAAAGCAGTCTTCTGGGATTTGGCACCGTGTATATGTGGTGTTAACCGACGTTTCGGAGGAACGTATCGCCCCCATCTTCAGGGTAGAAGAAAAAGTATAATAAATCTGCAAGCGACCACACCGTGAGAAACGGTAAAGCAGTGTGCTTTATCGTTTCTCACGGTGTGATCGCTTGCAGATTTATTATACTTTTTCTTCTACCCTGAAGATGGGGGCGATACGTTCCTCCGAAACGTCGGTTAACACCACATATACACGGTGCCAAATCCCAGAAGACTGCTTTCTTCATAGTCACCGCCGTGAAAGCCTCAAATCTTACATAGTCCGGTAAAAGTTCACTAGCGTTTCGGGAACTTCTGCCGGATTAACGTTGTCACATCCCAGAAGTCTATACTCTTCAACACACTCGTTCTACGTTTCTCTACATAACGCATCTGCAGTTAATTACAAGAGGATTTCAGCCAGTATTTTCGTTGGAAGCGACCGTTTGTGAAGTTTGAGTTCGGGTTTGTTTGTCGGTATTACTGAAGTAATACGCTACAGTAATATAATAGCACTACGCTTCGTCACTGTCTCACTGTTTCATCAGTCTTCAAAAGAGAAAATATCCTTGCATTCTGCAAGTAACTTCATAAATAATTTAAAACTCACTGGTTGTATGATTCCATTGCTGACCTCTCTTTGTATATAAATATAGTTATTTCCATAAAAGTGTGCTGTGCATCAAGTCTCTTTCTTTTTAGTGTGGTAGCACTCTTCTGCTATTCGAGATAGTTGCTCAGCCATTATGTGTCCCGTCTCTTGAACCATGCTATAGAAGTGGCCTTCTTCGTTCTGTAGGAGGATATGGGGATGGTCGAATTCCACCATAGTTCCAAATGCCATGACCAGAACCTTGTCAGAGTCCATGATGGTGTTGAGGCGGTGAGCCACAGTCAGCACTGTACAGTCAGCGAATTTAGTGCGAATAGTTCTCTGGATCAGTGAGTCGGTTTGTGGATCCACATTCGCCGTCGCTTCGTCCAACATGAGGATTTTGTTACTGCGGAGGATGGCTCGAGCCAGACACACTAGTTGTCTCTGACCGACGCTAAAATTACTGCCACGTTCTGCTACATGCATGTCCAGTCCGAGAGGGTCGTTTATCGAATCCTTCAACTCTACATCATCAAGTGCTCGCCATAACATATAATCAGGATACATGTCAAAAGGATCGATATTTCGACGGAGAGTCCCTGAGAAGAGAACTGGGTCCTGTGGAATAATGGATATGTGTTTACGCAATTGGTGAAGACCTACCGTTGCCGTATCGAGCCCGTCAATCCTGATAGTACCCTCTACATTTGCGAGACGGAAGAGCGCGGCTATTAGCGAAGACTTTCCTGCACCCGTTCTTCCAACGACTCCCACTTTTTCCTTGGACTGAATAGTGATGTTGAGATTTTTTATTGCAGAAGGCTCGCCACTTTCTCCGTACCGTAGGTACAACTTCTCGAATTCTATTCTCCCTTCAGAAGGCCATCCTCTGGGGATGTTTGTACCCTGAGGTGTTTCAAGGAGGGGTTCTTCTGGAATGTATTTATAGCTAACAACACGTTCAACCGACATCATCTGATTTGCCACTTCAGCCGACTGACGCATTCCCCACTGCATCATGCCTACCAGAGCCAAAGACTGAGTGATCGCGAGCCCCACGTTACCACCAAGTGTGTCCTCAACTAACAGGAAACTGAAGGTGACTAGAGCTATGAAAATAAGGCACATAAGATCCAAAGAGAACCCGAAGGCCTGGCTAGTAGTAATGAACATGTACCACGCAGATGAGTGCAAATCTTGATGTCTGTCGAACTCGCTGCGCAAAATATTCTGTGCGCCATAAGCTCTGATCGTAGTCAGACCTTGCAGAGTGGCGTTTAGATGTGTGAAGACCGGACTCTTTGTGATACCTTCAAGACGTTTCACATTCTTGGAAGTTTTCAAATAGATTTTACGGATGAACCAGAAAAACAAGCCCATGACGACAATCAGAATTAAAAAAAATAGATTAACAGAAACTGCAACTACTAAACTACCTGCCATCATCAAAATTATTTGAGAAGCGTCCATAATTGCTTTGGGCAGAAGTTCGTCAACTGAACCCATATCCTTTGAAAACCTGTTCATGATTCTACCTGAAGGGTTAGTATCAAAAAACCGCATACTGGTATGGATAATGCTGCTGAACATTGAATTGTGAAGAATGGAGGAACAGCGCATGCAGAACGTATAGAAAATGAAAGAACGGGTGATAGTGATGATAAAAAGTGTCGTCACGATGCCTGTGTATATATATAGGTAAGTGTACGTACTAAGCATTTCTTGCAAACTGCTATGATGTTCACGTCCAAATGTTGAATTATCACCCATTGTGTGTGTCACCAAAGAAATTTCTCTCTCGTAAAGTGTTCGAAGTTCCTCTTGTGTTACCCAGTAAGCCATCCACCAATCTACGGCACTTGCAGCAGTTTGTGCAAGTAAAAACATAACTCCAATAACAGACACCACACACATATTTGCACCAGATCGGAAATACTCAATATACACAGAGTGCTTTAACGTTCCTTTTGTTGAAGCCTCGACATTGACTGGCGCTTCTGTTTCTTCATTGTCCTTCTCTCTTACTGTTTTATTCGACGATTTGCTCCTGATTGACGCTCGTGATATCTGCCTCAGCAAATTACTTATTGGCCCACCCACCATTCGTTCTGACTCCGGTTTATCTTCAACAGCAAGATCAGCGGATTCGTCCAAACCCAGGAGCTGAGCGAAGTCCACTTGGCTCCCCAGTAACTCTTGAAAAGAACCCTGCACTTCAATAGCACCATCGTTGATAATGACGATATGATTAGCGTCTCGCAGATACTGAAGCTGATGAGTGACCAATATACGAGTTTTATTTGCCAGATATGAAGTGATACAGTCGTTGAACAGATGTTTCCCCACGTGCGTATCTACAGCGGAGAGTGGGTCGTCTAACAGGTAAACGTCAGCTTCGTTGTATATTGCTCTGGCAAGATTGATCCGTGCCTTCTGTCCTCCGGACAAAGAAGACCCTCTCTCGCCTACGAAAGTGAGGTCGCCGTATGGAAACTGTTTGAAATCTCTCTCCAGTGCACAAACACGAATTACTTCGTTATATCGTTTGCTGTCAAAAGTACGTCCGAACACAATGTTTTGTCGGATAGTAGACGCAAATACCCAAGGTTCCTGACATGCGTAAGATATCTTACCGTTTATATTAATAAAGCCACTAGATAACGTTAGCTCACCTAGAATTGTCTGTAATAGCGAACTTTTCCCCGAGCCAACCTGCCCAATGATTGCTATCAGTTCCCCGCGCTTAACTCGAAGATCTATACACTTTAGTGTATCATCCTTAACACTGGCGATCCACTTAGCTGTGATATGTTTCAGAATTACACCGTCTTTACCATTCTCTCGTGTGATTGCGTTATGTCCTTCCGAGTTGTTTTCTTGAAATTCTTCTAACATCAGAAACTCCTCTAAACGCTTGATTGACACTAAAGTTTCGGCGATCTCGGCCACGCCACGCACAAACTGCATTGACATGCTGAAAGCCAATGCTGTGAAATACGCCTGGAACACGAACACTTTGTCTGCTGATAACTTGTTTCCAAACAGTACCATTGCGGCCAAAGTCCCGAACATGGCTATGCGGGTTGTCGTAATTTGAAAAGTCATGAATAAACCGCGGATATATGATGTCTTTATTACCTCTTTGAGCTCTGATTTGCGAGCGAGGCTCACCATTTTAGCGAAAGGTTTTTCCCATACATACATCTTGATCACTTGAATGCCAGAAATAATTTCGTCCATCAGCCTCACTCTTTCATCTGTCCTAATTGCCGTCCGCTCTCGATAGATGGACGTCAGTCTTCCTGTGTAGGATTGCAATGGAACGATTAGAAAGACAATGCCTATACCAATAAGGCCAGAGTATCCGGCGTTCACGAACAGAAAATAAGTAATGATGACCGCTGACAATGGGGCAGTCCACATAGCATGCAAAAATATGGATACCATGTCGAAGCGACTGACATCATTAGATAGCAGATTGACGACTTTTCCAGCAGCAGTTTCCCCAAGGGCAGTGCGACTTAGGCGTAGAGATTTCCTATAGATGAGAGAGCAGCACGCCGCTCGAACCCTCATACCGATATGAAACGCTCCGACAGTGAAATGGTTGAACATTAACATGCTAAGCATCGTGAGGAGAACTATTGCGCCTGCAAACAGATATGCATCTTCTTTCCTAGTGTCACTCTCTGGCTTGAAATATCCTAAAAACCAGCCCAAAATTATTGGTTGAATAAGTCGGATTCCAAGATCGTTAACCGCGTGGAAAATGCCAAGTTTCGTGTATTCCCACGGAAACGTCAATGCGAGTGCTTTCAGCAGACTCGGTTTCTTCTTTCCGGACTGACGAGTAAATTTTAACTGTCTTTCCCATTGCGTCTCTAACTTGTCACCCAGGTATTCAGAAGCATCTGTCTTCAGAGGGTTATATAGATCTTCCTCCACAAGTTCCTTGCGATAGCCCTTCTTGAACAAGGGAACAGTCCACCAAAACAGAAGCACTGAAATTGGATTAGCTTCCTCTCTGGGATTAGGGTTGTTCCTTTTTCTACCCGTGTCCATGATTCTATGTCCTTTTCAGGTGCACACGACTCCGCGCACTTCTAACTAGATAACGATTATTATAATGAAACTCTCTATATGTTGCATTGTTTTTTAACCTCCCGGAATATAAGTTAAACTGAGAAGCAAGACCGCTTGGTCAGGTTATAAAAAGATTTCATTATCAGGACAATAAACGACAGAACATTTCATGAGCAGCTTTCATATGTTTAACGTATTAAAGAACAATAGTGCCATAAACATCGAATGACTTGCACAAAAATAAGAAAATATACAGACACATCCAAGCTTCATCTAAGTACTGATAAAATGCAGATACATTGGCGCAACTCTGCCTTCTTCAATGACGAATGATGTAATCAGCTTCCCTCTCTCACTAGATTGTGACCATAGACATGACAAGTGTCCTTATTCGCGGCTAAATTTATTATTTTGTACACAAAATGATTTTGAAAGTCAGCGTTATATTCTAAAACGACGTCTTTGTATTTAATGGAACATAAACCTATGTACTGTATAAGAACAATTATATTTTCTTGTAAGTACAGTATTTTCAAATTGCAGGTTTACTTGTTTGACCTCTTTTGTGGCCTAGTGGTCAGAGTTCTTGCCTACAGATCCAGAAGCCCGGGTTCGATTCCCGGCGCTACCAGATTTTCCGAGAAGTAATGTGTCTGGAACGGGGTCCACTCAACCTCGTGAGGATAATAGAGGAGCTATTTCAACGAAATAGCTGCTCCGGTCTAGAAAACCGAGATTAACGGCCGTGGGGTTCCGTTGCGCTGACCACGTGACATCCTCTATCCGCTAAAGTTGACACTAACTTCGCCGACAAGCGGCGGTCACTCGGTCGGTATAGTTCGCTTGCGGACTAAAGGTCACGGAGTTTGTTCGGTGTGTTTGTTTATCTTACCGTGCTCTTACTTGTTTTACTCGTTAATTTAATGAAACAGCCAGAACGTCAATTGTCAGCGATCAAGGGCCAGTGGTGTTCTCTGCCAGCTGTTGTTCCAGTAGTCTCTGATATGTCTCTAATAGCTGCAGAAGACACATTAAAAATATGGATCGGACTACAGCGATATAAGATGTTAACTACAAACAATCACAGGATTTGATTTTAATGCTGTTAATGTTGTAGGATGAACCATAAGTTCTTTAATGCCGTTGAATCAACTGCAGCTGTTATTTGGCGACAATCAGAGTGAAGAGATTGCAAAGAAAGCCTCTGTGGATATATCAAGGTACTGTCCTAGAAGTTGCTAAGAACGACTGAAGAGAGTTATGAAAATCGTCGGTCGGAATAGTCGGTATCCCGCCCGATTTCCTGAAAACGTACCTCCAGAATACAAGTCAGAAGCTTTATGTCCTTCCCCTTAAGCCAACTTGGTCTGCATTAATGTTGTTACTACTACTGCAGCAAGTATTGCTACAGCTGCTTCTACTACTACCAGCAGGAAAGTTAATTAATGATATAATCACATCAGCTATTAAATTATGTTGTTATTGGTACACCATGTCGTAGTGATTGAACTTCGTATGGATGAGAGACAGTCTTTGATTCATCCCAAAATTTCTTCGAAGGACTTCCATTTTATGTCTTCTTTGCACAAAGTGGAGATTGTGCCCTTCTGTCTCTTAGTTCATGTTTTCAATCTTCTAAATTATTAATCATAAGTCTCGTATAACTGCTTTAAAAATTGTCCAGCAGATTTAATTGTGTCTGGTATCGGTCACCTGCTTTACAAGAAGCTTAATGTAATATAAAATGCAGATATCATTAAGGCATGCACTTTTTATTTGATTTTTTTCCCCCATACATTTAACATTTAAGCAACCACAAACAAAGATACTGACAGTAGGTGGTTTTTAGCACATTTCCTCTCTTGCCAAGTACTGGAACTATTGACGTTCACTTTTCTCTTCTTCCATTGTTGGAGAAAATGAATAGTTATATAAATTCTTTAAATAGTACTTTATTTTTGCATTTGTAGTGACTTTTGTTGATAATATAATGAAGAATACTGCAATGCATTATGCAAATAATTCTCAGAATTTAAATGCAAATTCTTATAAATGGTGATAGAATACAGCAAGTAAAAGACATATAAGGTCATAGAAGTAAAGAACTTCAGCCTACATAACAGAGCCATTCTATAAAAGATGTACATGGAGATTACACAAGTAGTGATATCAAAAATACTTAAGTTTTAATTGTCTTGCTTCAAGATGTGCATTATAGATAATGGGGCATTAAAGATCAGTGCGTTGTATGCAATTGCAAGGTATCATTTGGAATACAAGTGTTCCAAATTGGAGTAGGCCTTTCCAATCTTTGCTTTTCCTCTCGTGAAGTACACATTTCAGTGGTATTCTTAGCGACAACTGTACTTTTTTCGAAGCGTTCACTTCCATCACTCTTATTTCCCGCCGAATAATTTTGTACACGGTGAACAAGACCGAATTGTGTTCAGGAGGTTCCCATTTCGAAACTCAGCCTGACATCTGTTAACTTGATGGGCTATTCCTGATTTTGTTCATTCTGTCCAGTCAGTCGCCTTGAAATAGATCACATTAACTTCTCAGCAAATCTCATAACTCATTGCCACAATATTCCTCACATATCTCATTCGATGTTTTAAATCCAGCAGGAGATCGCTGTCAAGAAGTTAACAAAAATAAAACATTTGTATATTCAAAATAAGCGCCATTTCACATTACGCTCATGGTTCGGTAGATGGCTCTAGTGCACGCTGGTCGTAAATGTGACCAATGAATGCGACAGTCCGCAATCCGAAATTCCTTTTACAAGTGTGTGCAGGCTCTGTTAGGTCGGCAGCTTAAGTGAAATATGTGCAAGTACCGGTAGGTACGTCGGTCGGAATCTGCGTTTTAGAAAAATTTGACAAGAGCTGTGATAATAATGGCTTCGATGGAAGGTTCATTGAGCAAATGGACAAATGTTATGAAAGGCTGGCAGTATCGGTGGTTTGTTCTGGATGACAACGCAGGATTGTTGTCATACTATACAGTAAGTAAATGGTCATTTTTTTAAATTTGTATCGTTTGTGGACTACGGCATGATAAGGTTAGGGACGTTATGTAAGTAAGAGTTGTAGAGATATATTTACAGGTGTAATCGATTAATTTTGGTTTATTTTGAAAGACAGATAAATGCATTTGCTATTCATAAGAAGTGTATGGTAACAGCAACTGTCCCGAAGTGACTTTCGAGTTTGCATGTAGTTTGTTGGGACTAATGCGTTTGTGAACGTTTCCCATCGCCCGGTATTCTGAAGGACACTAAAGAACACAGCGTTTTGGAAACTGGAACTNGGGGGGGGGGGGGGGGGTTACACCTACTCATTAGGGGTCCGTTAGAAAGAGCTGATGGCAATCACAGAACAACCTATGACTGCTAAATTGCTGCTGGCCCTCGCCAGCACAGTGATTATTGGTTCCGAGTCATGTTTAACTAATCTGATTAGTCAGCCCAGTTTGAGTTGTTCTCTCATATAATTCCTCCTCCTCAGCAGTTAGCAATTCAGAGAGTTCAGTATGATCTGACAGATTCTGCATGGGTTTCTATGTCATTTTAGTTTTGTTCCATTGTCGTGGGTANTGTAATATATATTCTCAGATTAATTAATATTTTGAAGTATGAAATATTTTTTCGAAATTGAAAAATTGCCAGAAATGTTCTTGGTTGCTTTTCTATAGGGAAGCAATGCTTCCACCACATCCATGTACCCTACGCCCCTGTGCAAATCCCACTTGACCAGGCCCGGGATCGAACCCAGGCTGCTGTGGTGGGAAGCCAGCGACTAACTGCTTGAGCTACGGTGCGGCCTGTTGTCGTAGGTAAATATGCTTTTACAAAATGAAAATCTTCAAATTAGCCTTATGCATCAGGGTTAATATATTTGTTTTTTTGGGGGGTGTGGTTGCTGCTTTAATTTGCACTTCGTTTTCTGTTTGAGGTCTGTAAATGCATTATTTCAATTTTATTGTCTTTTTTTTTTTCTCCCATTGGAAAATCCTGAACTCTATATATAGCTGTAGTTTACTGACATAGGTTGTCCAGTGATTGGGATTAGCTCTTTCTAATGGATGCAAGAGAGTAGATGTCTTTCACCCTCTCATATGAGTATGGAAGGAGATCCAGTTTCTGAAATATTGTGTTCTTTAGAATGCTGGTTATTGTCATACACCATTGTCTGAAGCCTTTAGAATCTACATGTACAGAGTGTTTCTTAACTTTGTTGACAAGTACATGGTGACCGGCTCATCACTTGCTGCGAGATGCATATGAATTTTTCCAATGAGTTAGCTTGCCTCATGTCCAGTAAAGTTTGGAATGAAAGAAAGTAATTAACTTGTGGCCCACTTGCTGGCATTGTGTTTCACTGTGAGAAGTGCAGTTCATGTGTGGGAGTTTATGGTTTGCCAGCAGTAGGCAGCAGTTATCAGCTCCATCAGCCATTTGTTCTCAGTTACAGGTAGTGAGCAGTGTGGTACATGAGGGGATGGTTTACTTTAGAGCAGTTTATATTTCTGTATGACGTGTGTGAAATCTGCTGGAAAGTGTCAGAACAAATTTGATGTAAATTTTGTGATGAAACAGTTCTTAGCAGACAAGCAATTCACAGTTTGGTGAATGAACTTACATTAGATCAGTGGCTCTCTTAATTGACAAGAAACAAAATCATAAGCTCTGAGTGCTTACTGAGGAGAAGCTAGATGACATAGGAGCCAGACATAAACATACACCTAGAAAATCACTGAAACATCTAACTCAAGAGACTGGAGTGTCAAAGTCTAGTGCAAGAATGACATCACAATTGCTGAAGCTCAGACCCCATAAATCAACAGTAATCCACACACTCCTTGCAGCTGCGTGATCCAGCTAGCAGAGTTTTCATTTTTGCAGTTGGTTTCTACTGTCTGTTGCTGAAGTAGAGATCGATCTGCAAATGACATTCTTTCCTGATGAAGTGTGGTTTCACTAATGGATACATAAAATAATCACTACTGGAGTTCAGAGAATCCACATCTAACCCACAAACTCCCACTCCATCCACTGAAAGTTGGTGTCTAGTGTGCTGCAAGTGCAAGAAGGATTGTTGGGCCTGTGTTTTTCAACAAAACAATTGTGAAAGATATGTAGAGGTCACTTTCAGGCAGTTCTTTCCAGAGTTAACAGAAGGAGAAGGCCTCTATGGCAAGATTCAGCTACTGCCCGCACTGCATGTATGTCTATGCAGGCTTGTCTGATGTCTAGGGAGGGAACTATCAGCAATGGTATTTGGCCAGCACATTCAACTGATCACAGTCCCTGTGATTTTTTCTTCTGGGTTTGTTTGAAGGACAAGGTTTACAGCTGTAACTCCTGAACAGAAGAAGAGCTGAAAGAAGATATTCATAGGGAAATTGCAAATATTCCTGCAGAACAGCTTCAAAGGGTAAGTCAACCAATTCCACTGGTACAAGGAATGCCAACATTTAACTGCTTATATTATGACCGTTGACACAACAGATAATATGGGAATATCTTCAATAAAGACAATAGGTGTTGGCATAAATCTTATGTGTTTAATATAAACATAACTGTGCCACATGTTTTGACCCTATAATTAGGTCATCAGGCTCTAATGAACATAACTCAGGTGATTAAAATTGGTTATAATATGGATCCATATTCTTGCAACTGATGGCTGCGTCACTAGCGAATATACAGGGTGTTTCACGACTTTAGGGCATAACTGCAGGAGGTGATTTCCTACGTCTTTGTGATCAAAAAAGTTCATATATACATGTGTCCGATTTTGGATCGTTACAGAGTTATGACCGTTTTTTCATTCCCATACATNTGTTCCGTTTATTGTCAGTAATCGTTACCTTCTATTCTGAGTTTAAAACGGTCATAACGCCATAACCGTCCAAAATCGGACACATGTATATATGAACTTTTTTGATCACAAAGACATAGGAAATCACCACCTGCAGTTATGCCCTACAGTCGTGAAACACCCTGTATATTTATGTATGAGGTATGTATCTACAGTTTAGTATACAATTAATATTATGATATGGTTAAAAACATAAAGACAAATGTGACATTAAATTGTGAAAATGGAAATATTAACAATATTAAAAGTATAAATGGCATAAAATTAATTGAATATTGTATTTAAAACACATGTTAGATGCTGTGCTTGGTCACGTGCAATCTTCAGCTGATGTGTGTTGGTATGCTGAAAGGAGAAGGGGGTTATGTTGTATCTCTCTTGTTGTCGTGTAGATCATATATACTGAAATCAAATGTTGTGTGAGTATTATATAGGTTATAGTTTAATATTGTTAAAGATGAGGGGAGGGATATTTACCTGTTGTATAGTATAAAATGTGGTTGTTATTTGTTCCATTTCTCACTGTTATCCTAGGTTATCGTGGAAGCTTAACTGTAATAGAGGATATAATGGGTATAATCACAGCCATCAGTTGCAAGAATATGGATCCATATTATAACCAGTTTTAATCACTTGAGTTATGTTCATGAGTGCCCTATGATGACCTAATTATAGGTTCGAAACATGTAGCGCCGTTATGTATATATTAAACACATAAGATATATTAATTCATCAGTAATCTGTCAGACGACAGGTCCACAGTCTCTTCCAAAACAGTTCCTCCACTTAATGCGATCTAGAGCTTTCTCCCTCAAATGAGAATATCCTCTTCTGTCCCCAAGGTCATCCAGCATCTTCTTATGTCTTCTTCCTCGTCTTCTGGTCACTTCTGTCCGCCCCTCTGTCTTTCCTTCAATAACTTCTTTTAGAAGGCAGTTACTGCGTAAGATATGACCAATCCAATTAGCCTTCCGTTTTCTTATTTCTTGTAGGATATTCCTGTGCTCACTGACTCTAAATAACACTTCTTCATTTCTCACATATAAGATATATACCAACACCTATTGTCTTTATTGAAGATATTCCCATATTATCTGTTGTGTCAATGGTCATAATATAAGCAGTTAAATGCAGACATTTCTCGTACCAGTGGAATAGGTTCTGACTTACCCTTTGAAGCTGTTCTGCAGCAATATTTGCAATTTCCCTATGAATATTTTCTTTCAGCTTTTCTTCTGTTCAGGAGGTACTGCTGTAAACCTTGTCCTTCAAACAAACCCAGAAGAAAGACAAGTAGCTTTCATAATATTCGCTGTCATTATTATCAAAATGTTTCTCATCAGTTGATATAGTTTCATCCAGAACTTATTCTCCACATGTACTGAATTGTGTAGTAACACACATAGCGCTGCCCTAGTTATAAGTCTGTCGTCAGGTCATTGAATTTAGGTTATTCTTGTAAAGCTATAGGAGTTCTGGCATAATCTGAAAACTTTCTTGGGAAATTAGATGGCAACTGGAAATTAGAAAAGTGAAACATTTGGTCTTATTACCTTATCTGTGTGTCTGAGCTATAGTGTTATGTCAGACCTTTTAATATGCATTTAAAAGTTATCAACATTTAGTTTGCCTCTGTTGCATAACTTTTGATATGTTAAAGATTACTTACCTGTTTGTTCTGGAGTTTGGTGTCTGGTTTGTTGAGCTGGTGTACACTCTTTTTTAAATGTCTGAATAATTTCCACTTATCGTTACTTTCACATGAACATTTTGGTTCATGAGATTTAAATCTCTAGTCTTGCCATAAACGAATGCCTGAAGTTCCCAGACAACTCTCCTGCTTTGTTCTTTCATGAAATTCAAATTAGGCTTCACATGAAATTGACATGCTGTGGTGTGTTTGTTAGTTTTGATAAGTTCATCGGCCCTTCATGTTGTAAACCTGGATAACTGATGTTTAATGAATAGTGTGTTCCAGTGGAGCACATATGTTTTGAATACCTCCTTAAGCTTGATGTTCCTGTATTGCAACAGAAAGCACATTTCTCAGACTGGCTATGGGCTGAATGGAGGGGAGGGGTTAGCATTTGAGTTCTGGCAGGGGCAAGATTTTTGTTCCTTATGTGTTGTCCAGACCAGTTCTCAGGCTCACCCACCCTCCTGTCCAATGAGTACTGGGATTTCTTTCCCTGGGAGAAAAGTGGTCATGAAGCTAACCACTCAACTCCAACTAATGCTGAGGTCAAGAGTACGTGGTTCTATACATCCACTCCCCCATATACCTTCATGGTGTAATGCTTAATTAGTTAAGCACAAGGACAACTTTTCTTTTATTTCATTAAATATTCACCACATTGAAAAGTGATTCACATAGAAGTTATAGATCTTGCTAAGATTTATTCTATGTCATATACCCATTTTTCTCCATGATTTTTGCTAACCGTCTTACAGTGCATACACTTTTTCACCTTACTCTTCTCTTTTGCACTACATGTTTCAGCACTAATGTGCCATCTTCAGGTGCGTCTAACTACTGCATTGCTTGCCCTGATGTCTTCATATTAAAATGACTAAAATATATATTCATCATATATAATAATAGATTTTAAATATTAAAACTTTTCAGAATTTGTCATCCTTACGTCGTATCTCAACACGCAAATCACGCGAGTCCTCCTCTGTCGGAGCACTCTTCCTACATTCATGTGTTTATTGTGCTCTTTGTTGTTATATATATCCAGTATTATAACACACGCAGTCACAGAAATAAGACACAACACAGAACACAATACACACATGAATGTAGGAAGAGTGCTCCGACAAGAGGATTGGCTTGATTTGCGTGTTACAGTATTTAAACATACTTCCTAATGATGTAGGATAATCTGTAACAGTAGCTGGAGTATTTTGTGATTTCCACAATAACATACCAGTCTTTGATTTCCAAGACTTTCAAATAGAACGGTTCATATCTCTAAACTTGTTATTCAAATTTCCTGAGGTATAAGAACCTCATCCCTGGCTCTGAAAATCATGACTGTTGGTTCATATCTCTAAACTTGTTATTCAAATTTCCCGAGGTATAAGAACCTCATCCCTGCCTTTGAAAATCATGACTGTCACATGAAATACGGCTGGGTCATGACCAAAGTATATTCAATTCATTGTATTTTGAGTTTGTCACTAACCTAATGATATTGTAACGTGTTTGTTACTGAATACACCATAGAGATCGTTAATTGGTTTATTTAACAACCTATAAGTAACGGCTACAATTAATTATAACACAGTTGCGGGTTTCACACTTTACAAACCATACAACCAAATCTCTTCACACTATCTTCAGTAGTCTTCACGTAGTAATAACGCAGGAGCTATACAAGTCTCCCTGAATTACACACTTTCAAATATAACTGTACTACAGCACTCACTAAGTCTCGAAAGCACACAATAAGTCTTCCGCTCGCTGACTTCTTGGTTATCGCACACTCGCAGGCTACTACCTTGAGAACTGTTGATAACACACTCTCGCTCAACTACTGCTGATCTCTGCGACTGCCACAGTACAACTCGACTTGGCGACGGTTACGTTACAACTCTCTCGCAGCCGCTGTGCAGCTCACTCATATAGCCGCAGTGCTTGCCTGTTGCGTAATGAATGCCACGTCATCCTGTTATGTCACCGCTGTTGACTCGCGTTGCATAGCTACCAGGTTGCGAGGGCTCGGCTCACTTCGGCTCCGCTCGTGACGTCACCGCGGGGAGAGTGGCGGGGTGATGACTCGCCTATTACGCGAGCGCTACGTTACCGCCACGTGCCGCTGGGGAGGTAGGGGTTCTTCGTTGCGCAACAGGTCACACTATAAAGAATTAATCATACATCGAAGGAAAATGCCTCCACTCTGTCAATGTAGAGAGCTTTTAAGGCACAGATTCATTTTTATGTATTATTATTTGTTTAATATCATGGATGTTTGCTTTTACCAACAATCCTTACACAAAATTTGGCCACATGTAAAACTTTTGGTTTCTTACACTTATAGAAGAATGGACATTGAATTTATTTTTAAACTGAGTTATGAAGTGAATATTGATATCCAAAAGAGGACTGCAATTTCATAATATTTCAGCTGGTTCCAAAGTTTTAGTATTGTGGACTACCAGAATAGTTTGAATCCATCTGATGGAATATCTACAAAATATGTAGTCACCTAGTGTGCAGACAATACAGTGTACTCCTGATAATGATCCAGTATAAGGGTCAAAACATCTAGCGTCAATAAAAGCAAATGTTGATACGATAGTGTCTACTTTGTTTTAAATACAGAATATTGTTGTGTAGACTGCGTACTTTTGTATACATTTTATGTACCTTGTTTATAACACACAACAGGACGCATACTACTAAGAATGCAGATTTCATATATAATCGTACATTTTTCCCTTGTTACAGTCAAAGGAGAAAATGATGCGAGGAGTGCGACGGGGCTGTGTTAGGCTGAAAGGTGCTGTCATAGGGATAGATGATGAAGATGACAGTACATTTACTATAACAGTGGATGGAAAAACTTTCCACTTCCAAGCGCGAGGTGCTGATGAACGAGAGAAATGGATTCGTGCGCTTGAAGATACCATTCTGAGACATGCACACAGAGTGAGTTAATATCTTCTGATCATACAGTCCATCATAATATACTGAAGTATGTGTCTGGGAAGTTGCATTTTGGTAAAGTTGTGGGATGTTGTATGTATGAAGAGACAACCACTAGTTGAACTGTCCTATAGGATTTATTGCAGCTGCACAGTATACACAGACAGATAACAACAGTAGTGAACTGCTTGAACACTGAACTAGAATTGTAGAACGGTAGAACTCCCCTTGTAACTCAGTGTGTCTTCCAATGTAGCCTAGAGTCGGACATATAGAAAACGGTTATGTAATAGGTACTGCTGTTGCCAGACACCGTGTTTACAAGTTCCCTAGCAACCGCTGTTTACTCGCCTTTTGCCTAGCAACCGTTGTTTACTCGTTGTTGCTAAGCAATGGCGCTTGCGTTGTCACACTTGCTTGAATGTGGGCAGTTTCCACAAAGTAGTTGTTTTTGTAGGTCTGCAGAACAATGTTTATTTCAAACCCAGCTCATTTTCAAATACTGGGAGCCTAGGTGTCCTAAAATTAAGAAGATTTTTAGTCAGGCACACCGAAGCTGTCCCTGATATATCCCTTCACACAAAACTACACTTTTAACAACAGATTCTTGGAAGAACTATCACCTAATTTCCTTTCACCATAATATGAATATTTCATATGATAAGTAGAAAGGTAGGACAGATGGATCGATGGATGGATGGGTGGACGGACAGATAGATGAACAGACAGATAGATATATACGTGGCGCAATCCAGAAGTTCCCGAAATATATTATTAAAAACTATAATGTCTTACCTGGATCTTATTCTGCACCATCACCTTCAAAGTAGTCCCCTTGGGAGTGCATACACCGATCTCAGCGTTTCTGCCGCTTTTGAAATGCATCCTGGAAGTCTTTCTTTGTTAGGGTGTTTAGTACCGTCTGCATCTTCGCTTGAATTTCCTCAACTGTATCAAATCTTCGCCCCTTCAGCTTGATTTTCATCTTGGGGAAGAGAAAGAAGTCGCATGGAGCTAAGTCTGGCGAGTACTGTGGTTGGGGAACAACTGCCATCTTGTTTTTAGCCAAAAATTCCTGCGCAATGTAAGCTGTATGCAGTCGTGCGTTGTCTTGGTGGAGTACCCATTCATTTGTGTGCCACTTCTCTGGACGTTTTCTCCTCCAGTCCTCCCTCAGATGCCTTAGAACATTGCGATAGAACTCTTTACTGACTGTCTGACCAGGAGGGATGAACTGCTTATGAACAATCCCGTCAATATAAAAAAAAAAACAGAACAACATGGACTTAATGTTTCTCATGACTTGTCGAGCTTTTTTTGGCCGAGGTGAAGAAGTGCTCTTCCATTGCGATGATTGCTGCTTACTTTCAAGGTCGTAGCCATAAACCCAACTTTCATCACCAATGACAACCTTCGAAAGAAAGTTTGGATCATCTTGAAGCTGTTGTTCGAGTTCCCTGCAGACTTCCGTGTGATGCTGCTTCTGTTCATTTTGCAACAGTTGTGGCACAAACTTTGCTACAATCCTCCACATGTTGACATGTACCATAACTTAGTCCCAAGGTATTACAGAGGTCTTGGATGGTCAGTCTATGATCTTGTAGAATCAGATTCCTAACTTTCGCAACATTTTCTGGTGTGGTGCCAGTTGACGGCCGTTCCGAATGCTTGTCATCATCAGTCGACGTTTGGCCATTTTTGAAATGCAAACAGACAACACACAGAGTTCATATGAAGAGGTTCAGTCTCAAGAAATTAAATGAGGTAGAGGGTAAAGAGCAGTATTGTGTTGATATCTCACATAGGTTTGTGGCTTTGGAAAACTTGGAAACTGAGGTGAATGTTAATAAAGCTTGGGAAACTATTAGAGAGAATATAAAAATGTCTGCCAAAGAGAGTCTAGGTTATTATGAATCGAAGAAGCATAAGCCATGCTTCGATGAAGGATGCTCAAAATTATTAGATCAAAGAAAGCAGAAATCCATACAGCTGAGCCATTAGTACCTGATCCTAGCCCTTTTGAGGTTGAAAGTGCTATTGAAAAATTGAAACGGTATATATCACCAGATAGTGGTCAAATTCTGGCAGAACTTATTCAAGCAGGAGGTGAAATATTACATTCTAAGATCCACAATCTAATTACTTATATTTGGCATAAGGAAAAATTTCCTGATTAGTGGAAGGAGTCTATTATTGTACCAGTTCACA